CTTGCGCCTCCCGATTCTCCTACCACCACCATCGCTACCAGGCCTCCCGGCTCTCCGAAGACCACCACCTACCAGCGCCTCCCGGCTCTCCGACGACCACCAGCAAAGCCGCTCTCTCTATCGGGTATTTTTAGAATAAATCTAATTTAATTGATTCAAATTTAATCTTCATTCAATTGATTTAATTTAATTTTTGGTGTCTGTTGTGTGTTTTTGTGTGAGTATGCTCTGTTTTGCTACTGTGTCGGTGCTCACTTTTTTTTAGTTTTTTTTTTTTTTTTTTTTTTTTTGGGAAAATTCCGAAAAGTTTCCGAAAAATTTCCGAAAATTCCGAAAATGAAGATTTCCGATTTTCCGAAAATTCCGAAAAAATCGGAATCGGAATCACTTTTTGAATTCCGAAAAAATCGGAATCGGAAGTCGTTTTGGACTTCCGAAAATAATCGGAAATTTTCCGAAACACCCAAATCCGATCCGATCCGTCCGATTTTCACCCCTACGGCCATGACATTGGCTTAAAATTATTTTACTATATATGTTAGGGGTGTAGGTGTCATTTACCACTTAATTAAACCTCAAATTATAGTTTAGGCGTCGCCACAAAATACAATACATTACGGCGTCGTATTACGATCTCTCTCTTCATCGGTAATGGCAGCAGCGACGTTCAGATACTTGGTACAGCTACACAAGGACGTTCCAAAAGCGGTGAGATTCTACTCAGAGGGATTGGGCTTCACCATTGACGTTTGCACTCTCCGATGGGCCGAGCTCCATTCGGGCCCTCTCAAGCTCTCCCTCAGGTCAATTTCCCTCTTTCTCAATTTTTCAAAAAAAAAATTGATTTTAGTTTGGTATTAGATTTACTGAATAAAGATTCTCATGATAAGATTCAGATGAAATTCGAGCGTGGTGAATCCGTAGATAATTCTGATTTCAATGATTCTGTGTAGAAAACTGTACAGAAATTGTTAAAATTATTGCTTACTAGTTGATGCCCTAGTTGTACTAGGTTTTTGAATCATGAACACTGTTCTTCCAATCTTTGGATTAAGACCATTGTGTAATTGTGTTTGATGTGTATGCTTCGAAGAATCGTAAAACACGATACGTCGATATTACTTATTAGACGGATCTCCCCGTAGCGTTCGTAATCTGGTGTTGAAATTGCTACAGTGCTCGCGAGAATTTGTTCGAAATCATTTTCTTCCGTAAAAAAAGTGATTAATAAAGCCATGATGATGCATATGTTTTAAGTTACTTGTAAAAAAGTGTAAGAATTGATTCATCACTTCTTTCTCCGAAGTCGACCGTGTAATTAAATTATCGGCTTTCTCTTATTGTTCAGCGACCATGTTGAGAGCAAGGGCTACTCATCACTACTATCATTTACAGTAACCGACATCAATAGCACGTAACGAAACTGAT